GTGACAGGTCCTGATACAAATCCCATATTTTCAAATTTGTTCTGCAAAGCAGCCAGTTCTGCTCTCGCTCGTATGAGCTCGGTCAAGTCTCCGTCTCTAGGGTAGTCTTCTCCTTCCAGGAAGTTCCTTGCGAACTTCCGTTCCATTTCTTCCGCGACAGCCATAATTTGTTGTAGCGTATGAGTGATGGGAGAAAACTGCTTTCGCAGCTAAGTCCTTATTGTTCGAGTGCGGAGTCCGTCAATGAACAGGTCTCTCCCTACTTACTCACCTCGCTCAGTTTTTACGAACATCCTGTAAAACCGGTTTCGATATTCCGCAACGGATTCGAGCGGTTTTTGCACTCGGTCTTTGATCATGTACAATGCCTGCTCAGGGTGAACATAATCAAATCGGTTCATGAAATCCCGTTCGAAGGTCGGGAGATCCACCCATACATAGGTACTATACCAATGATGAGCGTCTCCTCCCATCCGAGTCGGAATGTTGATCTGTGCTTCGTGATCATCGTACTGTTGTGCTCTAAGCGTGGCCAGCCATGCTCCTGCGAGATGGTGCGCCGGATCAAATAGATAGAGATTTGGTGGAAACATGGGAGCTCATGCACGTGGGGCAGGTTGATTAGGTGGATTAGCATTTTGTTGCGGAACCAGATTTTGCACGTTGGCAGCCATATTGGCTGCTCGTCGGTTAGCCGCTCTGCTTCTGGTGACTATAGGGTCGCGTCTAGGCGTGTTCCGAGGGCGAGGTCGCCCACGGTTAGCCAGGTTGCCTAATTAACGTGCTATCAATCCTAAGACCCTAGCCACGTGCCGGGCTCCGATACCAACCTCACGCCCTGCGCGACTTCCTGATCGGAGTGGAGTGTGGGCCTGGAAGTGCGAAAAGGGTTGTGCCAAGGATTTTTGGGGAAAGTGGGGGAGTCTTCAGAGTATGAATGCAATTAGGCGAGCGCGCGCAAGGGACTCATGGTCCGCTGGGGCCGGGGCACTGTGGGCGACGGTTTGCGGGAAAATTCCTTCATGGCGAAGGTGGTCCTTAAAAGTTAGGCCGTCGGGGGCCGCCACGCGGCGCAGGCAGTTCACGCAAAACGTATTAGGCCAATAGGGGGCTATGGGCGACCATGGAACGACACTGAGTTGATGATACGAGAGAAGGAGGCGGAAGGAAGGGAAACTGGTGGCGATCTCAACGAATCCTGGGTGGGTGAAGTAGTAGGTATGGTCGGGGGAAGGGAAATTGGAGCACCGAGGGTTGCTAGTGGTAGCACAGTGGAATTCCCGCGGACATAACCGATTCTCCGTGTGACAGGGGTATCGTGTCCTTGTGAGCTCGTTTATTATAGGGGTGAAATAGTCTGGGTCGTAGGACGAGTCTGAGTTCCAAGATCGCGTCATGGTGCCATTGTCGGTGGGATAGCGCGGGCCGGGTTTCCGTCACCACGTACGAGCACGTGTGGTACAGGCCGACTGAGTGACGCCTCGATGTGCCTGTACGGGATGATGGTTCCGCCGTGACTCCTTTCTAGGGCAGCGAGCCGTCGCACAGGAATACGTGTAAGGGCGCGACTCGGATCGCGTTTACCCGTGTTCTCGCGCGGCGTTCGTGGTTTAATTGTTTTGGATTACGCAAGATGCAACCATATCACACCCCTCATCGCGAGATAAGCAAAACCGAGGACAAAATCGCTATCAAGACCATATTCATATCCCATCTGCAACTGCATCAGGTGTGGGCAAAGATTCGATACAAACGAAAGGCAAGGACAGGGATCCTCGACAAAAAGATATACAGACAGGCATAATGTCCACACATCTACTTATTCATACATCCATACATTCGATAATCATATGTATAATGCAATCGGGACGGACATAGCAAAGACAAAAAAAAAACAAGCCCAAATCTCAGAGAGCAGAAACGAAAATAAGAACGGGCAAACTACCCGGAGCCGCAATCAAAATGTATGTACACAGATGAAGAGGAGGAAGAGACAAAGAAACCGCAAATCCACGTCCATCGACCTCAACTCTCTCTTCCTCTCTCTCCGATGCGGACAGTCCGTCGTCACGCACCAACCCACGAAGTTGTCACCCCGCTTAGTCCTCCCGCACCCGTCGGATTCGCCCGTGCCCACAATCCGTCGTGGCCCACGTCAATCCCGCGCGTTCGGCACCAGCCTGTCGGATCGCCCAACTCCTACTCTACTCACCTCTTACTTCGCTCGTGTGCCGACCCTTCCTGATCGCGCAACCCCGAGCTTCCAACAACGGCTTCAGAGAGCTGACTAATCGCGTAGCCGAAATTTATAGCGTGCATGCATGCGCGAAGAACATGGAATTTCCAAGACTTAAAAGTGAAGATTAGAGAGGGAGCGCCTGCGTTCTGCATGATCGGGCGCGGCGTGGGGGACATAACCCTTCTCCACGCATCGATCCGAGCATGCAAGCCGCGGCTTACAAAATCTCAGCAAAAGAAGGAGGGGGGAGGGCGGGAGAGACGAAGTGTAAGAAGAGAGATACAGTTACAATGGCGCCCGCCCAAAATTGCAGTTACACACACGATTAAGGGCGCCCACAAATCAGAGTACCGTTGCAGCCGCATGAAAAAGCGCGTAGACAAAAGGCGCAGCGCGGCAGAAAAAGTCCTAATTACTGAATTCCTAAATTCCTATCTAATGCGGAAAAGCAAAAAACATTCATTTCATAAAGAAGGTCCAAAATTCCGAGAGCCATCGGGGCTCGACAAAATTCAAAAAAGATTCAAAAGAAAATTCAAAGGAACGAAGCAATTTCCCGCGCGATGTTCGCGCCCAAAAGATCGAACCCAAAACGAAAGAAGCGACATCAACATTTATTAATCATGCGCGTGGTGGCGCGCCAGACATCCATCCGACCAATCTCTCAACCGGCCGTCCCCGGACACACCCAGCCCCGAAGAAGCGACGAAATAGACAAAGAAGGAAGGGTACTAATGCAATTTTCCACCGATCCCGATTTCCCGGAAGTGGCCCAATCTTCCCAGCTTAGGACCCCTCATTGCAACCGCGCAGAAAATCGCGCGTTATAGAAAGTGGTTCGTCACACCCTGTCGTCCCCAATAAACTCGCTGCCCATTAGTACTCTCAATCTAGAGGAGGAAGACAACCCAGAGTCACAGTTCCTAACCTCAGTTCGTCCTCCTCTTCCGGACCTCGTGCCTTCCCCCCCCCCAATCCTTTGCTGGATCTCTTCCCTGTGCTGAGCTGTGGCCTTGAGCACCGGGACCTTGAAGTCTGGATTGAGCAGGAGTCGCACTCTGGTGGCCTTGGAACTGTAGCTCCGTGGGTGCTGCTTCCATTCCCCCATATTGCTCCTGCTGCATTCTCATTGGCACCGATCTGATGACTGTAGTCTGTGGGTGAGCACCTTGACACCCCGACACTTTGCATTGCCCCTGATATTGAGCATGGCCCCCTGTGGCCAATTGCTGGTACATCTCTTGATTGGAACCCATAACCCTCCCTTGGGTGTTCGCCCATATCTGGGGTTGGGCCCAAGGTGCCAATGGGGCCACTAGGGAACTCCCACTCGGCGGTGGATACGTTGGTGCAACCTGCAAATACCTGTGTCCGTCAAACAATGCAGATCGGCCCGTTGCCCCTTGCACCTCCGTTGGCAGATTACTTGGACCCTGGAAGCCTCCTTGTAGCCCCGGATTATTGCCCCCTATTCGCTGGCCCAGAGAGTGCTGTGGGGTGGCTCCTGGTTGAGCTCTATTCTGCATTCTGTGGTGCTCTGACTGTTGCTGCAGTTGGGCCCCTGGCTGTTGAGACGGTACCGGAGTAGGCTGACGTGGTTCTTGAGTCCGCTGCTGGCTTGCCGTAGGTCGGTGTGGTGGGAGTCTGGAATTCGTCCAACTTCGCCGAGGGCCGGCTTCGCCTTGTTTGGGACACTCCTCTTCCGTGTGGAAGTACCATCTACATTTTTTGCACCGGTCTGAGTATGGGGTGGCAATATCCACCGTCCACAATTCGCCTTTCGGTGACTCTATAGTCAGGGAGTTTTCCACCCGAAATCGTGCCATGGGGTCCATATCTAACTTTATGTTCATCAGTTTGGGCTTCGTTCTATCCGCTTCAGGAGGAAGCATACACTTTACTCCTCCAAACAGACCTTTGGCAGCCGACGGCAGGTAACACATTGCATCCAGCGGGACCCGCAGTGCTACAATCCAGAAATTTGTCTCCGCTTCTCTCAGCTTCAGTTCTTTCAACTCCGGCTTGGTCATCCACGGTCTTACCAGCACAGAATACTCTTTTCCCCTCAATCCCAGCTTGATCGTTGCTTTCTGTATTAACCATGTTGACACCTCTATTGCCTTGGCCACATACGAAATCACATTCGGTCCTTCAAACTTTATTCTGCCTCTTCTGATACTTGGGTCGGACAGCCTTCTCGACATCCACCCGTCCTCATGTGCTCTTATCAGATCCTCCTTCACACTCCTTGTTAAATCTCTTGCCTCATCTTGAAATATGAAGATGACTGTTCGCTCTTTGAGCCACCTCTCCTTAATTGCGTCATAGGATTCATTTACTTTGAACCTTTTGCCCCTCTCGTCTTCCACCACCTCCCCCACATTTTCCACCAACTGGACCACCCCCTCATCATAGTACTGACCGATTGAGCGTCTGGCTCTGTCTTCCATCGTCCAAAAGTTGACTTTTGGGGGGCGTGGTGGGGGTGACCTCCAGCCTCCCCCCCCTTGCCCTGGCCCCTCCACTTCCATTCTCTAAGTTGAAGCTGTATCCCCTCCCGCTCCACGAATCGTGCAGTAGAACTGTTAACTGCTAACGCTAAACTGTCTACATCCCACCCTACCCTCTCTTTTCTTTTCCCCTTCCTTACGAATGAAAACTTCGGTACTTCTTTTACCGAAAGGTGAACTTGAGGGAGGAACGGTCGAGGCGGACAGGCAGCCCCCACTGACCAAATTCACGAGTGGATTATAGCGGGAAGACATGCTATTCAAAACTCCGATACTCCAAATCTCCAATCTGAGATATTCTTGCTTAACCTTCCACTTCCCTATGTGGGCTCTCCCTATGAACCTCCTCTCCCTTTCGGGCCCTTACTGCTGAGAGGGAGCATCAATCGAGAATTGGTCCAAATAAAAAACAAGGCAATAGAGAAGAAAAGAGCGAAGATCAGCCCGGTTACAGGACCGAGGGAGGAACACGCGATGACGAACAACTAACCCCACCAGGCCGATTCCCAATTGGGCGATCGAGAGAGAGCCGAATCCTAATACCTCGTGAGATTGCTCTTCGGACCTCCAGGTTCGACTCCCCTCCCCTGTGACTCTTTGACTACTAACGCTAAACTTCTTGGATCTCTGGGGTATACCCGCGTATCAGCCCCCAGTCCCATCGAGTTTAGTGTAGGTCTCCCCCCAGTTCTCCTTCCCCTACCGCAATCTCCAGAATGTTCCCGAAGTTACCGAAGGGAGCTCTTCACTTGCTCTTCACTCGAGAGCTTTCTTCAGCAAGTAGAGTTGACTTCCAACCGGGGAGATCCTCTGCCTGTAGCCCTTCTTCCCTCCCAACTTGCTTCCCTAATTTGCCCGATCCCTCTTAATCTGCTTTCCTCTTACCTCAAATGTCCTTTCCTCCATATTCACCACTCTCCACGTGCTTCTATCACGCCTTTTGTCCATGGTCTAGCAAAGCCCGAACAGCATCTTCCCTTGCTTTGATATCTTCCGGAGTCCTCTTGTAACCCTAAAAATGATGACGGCAACACTTATTCTCTCTTTTACTTTATGGAGTAGGGGATAATTCCTCGGAATACCTATCTCTTTTCATCCGCTAAATGCGCTGACAGTGATACTCATAGCAGGCTACCTCGACCGGGCTCAAACCGGCATAGCCGATCCCCATGTTTCGTGAGTACATTGAGACCATCGCTTCCCCGTCATCGATGGCGGGGTTGGCGACGAGGTAGGGCACGAGCCGTCCAACTGATAGTCCTGAAGTACCGTCGGCTCGTACCGGCGCCGGTTCGGAGCGACCGAAAATACCACATGGATTAGCGCCGTCGCCCAGCCGTGGCGCCGCCGCCTTTCATTCGATTTTATTATTGGTGATTGTGAAGTGTTTTTTTTTTTTCTTTTCACGAATGTCATTCATCTAGTTCATCTGAATCCGAGCACAAGTCTGCATTTCAACAATTCATGGGTGTACCAACTCGAGCACCGGCCGAGACCTAATTTTCTGATGCATCAATCATTATTGATTGAGCTGCTGCAGAATGCACTATATGAGTCCGCTCATGGGTGGCTCTATTGGAGTGATTGGGTCTACCTCTGCGTTGAACCGAGCACTGCGCGGCCCATTTCTTTCTTTCTTTTTTTTTTTTTTTTTAATAAAAAAGGGCGACGGCCTTGAGATATTATCATTGAGCTGACCGGCCCCGAGCAATTCTTTCCCGTTAGGGAATGGGCGGAATGTCCTAATTTCAACGTCGTTCTGACTGGCATTTGGTTTTTCAGGAAACAAGGCGACGGAAGCGGTACCTGATAGGGCAGGCCCTCTCCACTACCTGGGCCTCTTGCTCCGCGCGGCTGGACTCCCAAGCATCAAGCAGAGCAAGCGGCTTCTTCAACGAGCGAACGAGGTCTGTTCGGCCTGTGCTCTACTGCCGGAATTCCTCGAAGAATTGCGGGCTCCACTGGCGTTTCTACATTCTTTTTCTATCAATCACTGAAAGTGGGGAGTTCTCCTCTGTTCTCGGCGATCGCGTGCTGCTCGGGCTGCGTGTTCTCTGGTTCTTCAGGCCACGATTCTTTTTTTTATTTTTTTTTATTTTTTATAATTGGATAGTTTTATTCCATTAAAAGAAAAACGGAGGCCGGGAAAACCTCCACATGACAACCCGGAGGAAAACTGGGGCCATTACCCAGCTTAGGCTAGCTGGAAACCGGGTCCAGCGTCACGATTCTGGCCTCGGTGGAAATGGAGAACACTATTTACCCGTGCTTGAGGGGGGCGCTGTTCTCGTGAGAGTCCCGAAAGGGCGGGCAGGTGGAACCCCACGAATTCTGCACGAGCGCCCCTGCCATTCCATTCCATTCCCCTCCGTGCTGCATCTGCAGCGCCCCCCTCTCCCCCCTCTGCCGCCCCCCTATCTCCAGCCCCTCCCCGGCGGCCCGCGCCCCCTTTCTACCTCCCCAAACAATCGGAGCTCAACGGCACTTCTACGCCGTGTATGTATCCGCGCTCCTAGCGGACCGGCAGTACCCGCCGGTAACTCTTCGCGCGCGGAATATCCGTTGTCATCAGCTGTCAATTCGCAAGCAGAAGGCCGTTTCTGAGATCTACCCGCTTCCCGTGACCTCGCCCTGCCGTGTTTCTCTCGCTTGTCGTGTTGCGCCTGCAACTACTCTTCCGTCTTCTTCCCCCCCCTTCGTTGAGCTGGTGTTCGATCACCTCGAGAAGGTACTGCATCATAACTGACTCAACACGCGCACGCGCACGCGCACGCGCGTGTGAACATCGCAGTCCTCACACACGCGCGAGTGAACATCTCACTCCTTCGATCGCCTGGAGAAGGCATTGCACCATAACTAACTCAACCCGGTGAACATCGCACTCCTCGCGCGCGAGTGTGAACATCTCACTCCGCACACTCGTGCGTGTGGACCTCCCGCTTGTCATTCTCACACGCGCGCGCGCTCACTCACACACGCGGAAACCGACGACATGGCGGAGATCGATCCGTGCATTCCGATCGATGTGAGAATTGACGGCTGCGGTGGGGTGCCGCTGAAGCATCCGGTTTTTGTCCGACCGGAGGCGACTTTCTATGAAGCTCGGCTGCACCTTGTGTTGCAGAACATTTGGCGCGAGCCATTCACGTTCCTTGTCCAGAAGGACGGCAAAACGAGCGTTCTGAATACGACGCAGGAGGGACTGTTTAAGGTGACAAGAGGGGGTGTGCTTCTGGGCAAGGGTCATCCGCCGCCACCACCTGCGGGTGGGGATTCCGGCGACGGAAAATCCCCTGCCCAAGGAGACGAAGGGAAGAAGAAGGATAAGAAGGGCGACAAGGGCGACAAGGGTGACAAGGGCGACAAGGGCGGCGATAAGGGTGGCAAGGGTGGCAAGGGCGACAAGGGTGACAAGGGTGACAAGGGCGACAAGGGCGACAAGGGAGAGAAGGCTGGTGGAGAGGAGCCGGGGCAGAAGGCTGGACAGGAGCCTTGCGAGCCGACGAAGAATGGTGGAGATACGCCAAAGGATGGCGGCGAAGATGAGGCCACCAAGGAAGACGGCGGCGGCGGCGGCGGCGGCAAGGGTGGGAAGCAGAATAAGAAGGACAAGAAGGGAGGTGACGGGAAGAAGGGTGGAGACGGAGGGAAGAAAGACAAAGGTGGGGATAAGAAGAGCGATAAACCTCCAGAGAGTAAGGGAGGAAGTCCTTGTGGTAGTGGTGGTGTTGGTCGGGGAAGTGATGGCGGGGGAAAGAAGAACGATAAGGGTAAGAAGGCGGGCAGTTCCGAGAGCGTTCCTCCACCGCCACCTCCTCTTGAGGACGATGACGATGCGAAGGATATCTTGATGGATGATTGCTCCAAAATTTCCACCTTCAATTCTCCGTCTCATGGGCCTGGATCCAAGCCATCTTCGAAGGCACCATCACCTAAACCTCCTACCCCTAAACCCGCCTCTCCTGCGTTCCACATTTCCCAGAAATTTTCCGATCACCAATGCCACTCGAAATGCAAGTGCTGCTGTCCTCATCCTCGCACGGCGCTGATGTGTGATGATCCGTTGGCGGCATGGGAGAAGGTCGCAGATGGGCTGCGTGACAAGCTCAAGGCAGAGAATCGCTCAGATCGCTTCCACATCATCGTCGTGAACAAGGACGGAGAAGACGTCGTACGGGTCTATTGCGACGAATGCGATACCGAACGGGCAGTCGGCTCTGGGAAAACACTCTGCACATTTTATGCTAATCATCTGCAGTCCCGAAATCACTGGGAGAGGGTCTTCATGAACAAGGTTAAGTGTCCATGAGGGGGGCCACGTCAACGTGCCGAAACGTGCGTGCGCGCGTGGGTGGTAGGAGGGGGGAGTGCACGCGCGCACCTGCGTAGGCTTGTGGGTGTGTGTGGAGTGATGGCAGACAAATAATCAGCAAGGTAAGCGGACTCTTTGTCGAGCTTCGAGTGTCAACTTGTCTGCATCGTAAGAGTATTTATAGTCTCTTTTTCTGCTCGTACACGTTTTCGGGCGTTCTATATCTGTTTCTGCTGTCACTTTCTGTGCTAGCAACGGTTATGGTTCTGTCCCACATCTAGTGAGTAAAAATAGAACACCTATCACCGCTGCGTTTTCGTTGCGCTCTGTTTGGCCCTGCTTAGATGCACAGTGCAGGTAAATAGTCGGGGACTCGGGGTGTGTGTGTGTG